GCCCCGGGCGCTGGACCCTCGGCCTCACCTGCGGCCGCCTTGCGCTCTCGGAAGGGGGCCGCGGAGGGAGGGTGCCAAGTCCCCGAGGGCGGGCGGGAGCCTCCGACAGCTCCCGGCCCGCAGCCCTTCCCAGAGCCGCGGCCACGCAAGCTGTGGACAAAGGCGGCCCGAGCGCGCTGGGTCCCTCCCCCAGCTCCCAGCCACCTTGGACGCGCGGGAACCCGCAGACGGCGGGCGAGTGGGCGGGCAGATAGCAAAGCCAGCGGCTGGAGCGGCCAGATAGGCACCGGGCACGGGTGGAGAGAGCGGGCACAGAGCGGGGGCCACGCGCGGGCGCACACCCAGCCCCGCAGGCCCTGGCGGAGCCCCGGGCGCTCAGAGGACCGCCCCGTGCTCCGGTTCTGGCGCTGCTTGCCGAGCTCGGTGCCTGCCTTCTCCGCTGAACCGGCGTCTGCACGCAGCTCCCCCATCCCAGAGCGCCCCCCTTCCCGCCTGCTCCTTGGTGACAGCAGTGACACCCAGACGCGGCGCACCTACCCCGACCACAGCGGCGAGACAGACAGACATCCCGGTGCTTGCGCCCACACTGTTAGCCACAGATGCCGGCATGCACGCTCGATCTCTTACACACACACACACACACACACACACACACACACACACACACACACACCCTGCACACTGACACGCACACGCTGGTTCTGGGGCTCAGCCCCGCAGAGCCACCCACAGCTCCCACTGACGGATGGACAGACCCAGGTGCGAGTCTCAAGCACCTCCCCTCGCCCCCTTACCATGCTGTAGCCCCCGGCCCAGGCGTGCTGGGTCCACACCGCTGTGCGCCCAGGTGTCTTTCTTAAAGGGAAAGTTGCATCAGCCTCCCGAGGCTTGGTGCTGCAGCGAGCTTGCCCGCCCCGCTGCGCCTCCAGAGCTTGTTGTGTTTTGGTTTCGGGGAGGCGGGGGCTAAGAGTTTGGTGAAAGTTTGGAGAGTGAAAAAGGGTTGGGAGACCTAGCCAAGTCCCTCCCCTCCCCGAACAGCTCCCCTGGCCGCCCTCCCCCTCCACTTGTCCCATCCCCTCCAGCATGCCGACTTCTCAGGCTCCTCCTACCAGGGAATAAAATTACAAGTCGCTCCAGCTTTTAGAAGATTGAGCTCTACGAATCCTGGGAGTGGGGCTCCGCCAGAGAACCCCTTCTCAGCCCGTGGTTCCGGTCTCACTGTCCTCCAGTTGGAGGCCTTAGATGGAACCGATGTTGTCCTCGTGGGCTAGGCTGGAATGAAGCCCAAAGGCCTAGGGAAACTTTGTAGGTTTGGGGCTGCTGTTAGCCCTCCAGGCCCCTGGCTTTCTCCTTCTCCCGCCTATGGCCTTCTCTTCTTCTCCGCCCCTGGCCCCTGTCTCGCTGCCCTCCGGCTGGGGCCCTTGGAGGGAGCAGATGTTGTCCCCTTGGGCTAGGCTGGAATGAGGCCAAAAGGCCTGGGGAAAGTTTAGGGGGTTGGGGCTGCTGTTAGCTGTCAGGCTCCAGGCCTTCTGCGCCTGCCTTCCCCCTAGAGAAAAGTCAGAGCAAATTCCCTTCCCTTTGGAGCAGTGCCGCTAGAGACCTTGGGCACAGCTGGGTAAAGCCCAGGTCCTACTCCTTGGAACTGGAGGGCTGGTAGAGCTCTTTCTCCAGAAACCCTTTTAGACAAAGGCTGATTCAACCCTACCCTGGCGGTACCGCTACTGGGGCTGCGAACACCACCTGGTCTCTAGGTTAACTGGGTTTTCGTCCCACTTAAAGTAGCTTCTTTCTAAGAAGTTGGTACAGATGGGTCAGATTTGCACAAGACCAATTGATGAGAGATTCTACTTGATTAATTTATGGTAGGAGACACTGAACGAGATAACAGATGCCCAATCCAGACACCTTCTATGGTGTCTCTCTCACACATCCATCCATCCACAGGCCTACCCCAGAGCCAGGATCATATAGAGGTTGTGCTCAGAACTCAGATCTTTTCACACTGGGGACACTATCTTAGCCATTCCCTTTTACTTTGTCCCCAAACCTAGCAGACATAGCATGTTTGAGGTTTATATCTCCTACAAACCAGCTAGAGCATTTGTGAGTGTTATGTTCATTGCACACTGCTCGCGCACACCTCTAGCTGAGCAGTCTACTGTGTCTGCATCCCTGACTCAGCCTAAGTAGTCACCTCTGAAAGAGTGGCTGGACCCTGCAGCAGGCCTGTGCTGTATGTGTTCTCAACTTCTGAGACTGGGTAAATTGCTCAAGTCTCTCCCCCTGGGACCTAATTCTCCCCACAAATTGTTTCTGGTCTCTTTCCTTACCTACTCCATAGCTGGTCAAAAAGGACTTACTCCCAGGAAAGACAGAATGGATGGAGGCTGTTGGAAGAAGGCCCAAGGTAGAGAAGGGACAAGTGAGAGTGTGGGTGGGGCAGGGTGAACCTAAAAGGTCCTGAGAGGCTTCTGAGAATGCTCAGAGAAAATTCTTAGAATTTTCCTGGTCCTGGGAAAATAGAGCTTCCCGTTAGCCTAAAGAATCTAGAGAAATCAGGTATAAGATGCCTTTGGGCACTGAGGGTGGGACCTGAGGCCAGGGGAAGGCAAGGGGAAACAGGAGTTTAATGCTCAGGGACTCTAGCAGAAAGAAAGTTAGGGTTCACTGGGGCCTGGGAGGCAGCCTGGACTTCAGTCCATGAGGTGGGAGAGAGAAGATTGCCTTTGAGCTGGCTGGGGAAACTGGTGACGCTGACCTTGAAGGTTTTGCTAGATTCACCATGACATAACACAAGCATATTTGTGTTCACAGATTAGTGGATGTGTGTGCTTTACTCACCTGATCCATAAAGCTCTTCAGACAGCCACACCAGGAGTCCTGAGAGAGGCTTGTGAGAAAGGTTCTGGTCTGAAAAGCTGTCCCCTAGAGACAGGAACTAAAGGGCTGTTTTTTTCCAATCAGAATGCTATCCCAAGGGAGGCAGGTCTGGGCCTAGCAGGGTCAGAGCTGGAAGGCCCTGGTGCCTGGCTGGGAGGGAGGAGCACGGCCAGCCCTGGTCACTGTAGGAAAGGAAGGAGATCAGGTCTGGCGGGACCAGATATCCCACTGGTCCTGGCCTCTGCCTTCCTGGAACAGGGCAGCAAGAGGGCAGGCAGCTGGCTAGCCCCACCTGCTGTGGGCCGAGGTGAGTCTCAGGAGCCTCCAGTTACAGTGCTATTTCCTGGGTCGGCTACGCCCAGCACCACATCCCCCAGGGCTGGCTGAGTTCCTCATTTGTCATCATTAGCCAGCGGGATCAATTCCTCTGTGCTGGGACAGTTGCATAAACTTAGGTATGTACCTGGTGGCAAGAGGGAAAGGGCCAGATCCAAGCTACTTCTGGAGGGCATTATAGGAACTGGCAGCACTGGCCACTCTGATGGAGGAGAACTGAGTACCGGGCTGAGAAGTTAGAGGAGAGTAGGCTTGGCTTTGCATCAGAGCCTGGCCTGAGGAGTGGCCTCCCCCACCTTGGAAGCATCATTAAATGTTCCTGACCTGGGTTCTGCTCTCAGAGTCTTCCTCTTGAATTTTTGGATCCCAGTAGCTAATGCCTGACACCTTCCCTGTCCTTATCCAATGCAGGGCAGAGGCTTAAATGAGCTTCAGATCTAAGAGTTGTCCCTGCCCACCCCACCCCCCAATGTCACTTTCAGGCCACCCCTCTCCCTGGGAGCATCAGCCAATCAAGGTTGAACCCCAGAGGCTCCAGGTAAAATCAGCCTTACAGACAGGAAGCATTGATCTTGGCCCTATGGGGGGGGGGGCAATTCCAATCTTCAGAGTAGTCACTGTCCAGATTCCTAATACTTTAGAGCTCCCAAAGTCCAGAATTCCCAGTGCCAAGAGTGCCAGAATTCCCAACACTGTAGAAGACTAAAGCCCAGAGTGTGCAGTACTCAGAGCTCCCAGTGCCTAATGGCAGAGATCCTAATGCTCAGGGTGCTTGACAGCCAAACCACCTGAGGTTCCTAACATCTACCTTTCAGAGTGCAAGTGTCCCAAGTCACCAGGAAGGGGTCCTGCTGGTTAGCTCAGTTGTTTAAGCGCCTGCTTATGCAAACACAGTCAGGAGCAGGATGCTGCAGTTTTGATTCCCCAGTTCCACGTGCTTTACCAGACCTGCCCTTAAGGCAGCCTGAGTCAGCCAAACAAAGAAAAAAAAAAAAAAAAAAACAAGTCACTGGGAAAAAGGAAGGGGTAGATGCTCTTACATGACTGAGGCTCCTCCAAGGACTGGTGTGATGAGTGGCTGTGACTGGAAGTAGCCTGAGATGGGCTGGCAGGAGAAGCAACACTTTTGTTCTGCTCAGATCCTCTCTGTAGAGGTAGCAGGAGGGACGGTGGCTTGTTGTCTTAGCCCGCCCCAAATGTGTTCTTGAATGTCCATTGACTCACCAAACACCTGTGGGTGCCTACTAGATGCTGATATTTGTGACTATTTCCAGGAGTCCAGCCATGAGAGGGGAGGTGCTCCTGCTCTTCAGTGTGGATTGCTTGACAGCCTGTCTGTGCTGGAGTGGCGATTTGGGCTCGTAGCCATCTGTGGCTTGCATGTGGCTGACACCATGGCTATGAGAATGAGTGGCTGCCGAGATGCGAAAGTTTTGGTATGAGGCTGTGAGTAGTGTCAGCAAGCTGGGTGTGACTGTCAGAGCCAGTCTGGCTGTGTCCACTTGTGTGGCCATCCTAATAATCTCTTCGCCTCACTGCTCCACAGGGATGGCATGTGAGGCCCCTCTTCTGCTTGACCAATACTTCAAGGGACTATGTTGTTGGTCTCCCTGTAGGGAAGGCAGAGCCATCTCCAAGGTGCCCTGCAGTAGGGTAGAGATTTCTCCTGCTGTTCCTGCCCCCATTGGATCCACAGACCCTTTGAATTGGGAGGACAGGAAGAGGGGTGGCTATAAGTGGAGCAGCCAACACCAAAAATAGCTACCTGGCCTGTGGAGTATACTGTGACATCACCCCTGCTCCCAGTCCAGCTCTGACCTGGAGCCTGAGTGGACCTTCTTTCTGAGTCCAGGTTCCTGACTCCTGTCTAGACTTGAAAGAGGGGCAAACAATAATGTCAGTACAAGTAATGACATCATAGGGAGTCATGACATCTTGAGGAGAGATGCCAGGGTCTGTGAGGCGGATGGTGGCTGCTTCCTAGGTAGGTGGGGCTGTGTCTGCTAGCAGCTCCTCTAGCTCCCAGCAGCCAGGATGGCAGGGCTGGATAAGCCCCATGGGGGGGCCGCCTTATCTGTTCCCTTCACATGTCTGATAAGCCTCTTACTGAGGCCTGGCCTCCAGCAGGTGGGGAGCAGGCTGGAAAAGGGGAAGGCCAGCTGGGGCTGGCTGAGCTCCAGGGAGACAGCAGGGTCAAAGGGTGCCTGCAGAATCCCAGGAAGGGGAGCTAAGTGGAGTGGTCTTGGGGTACGGACTGGGGGGTTAGGCTGCCTGCATGGAGCTCCCAGACTTCTACACAAGACTTGTGGGAAGTAGGCTTGGTCCCTTCAGTGCGCCCCATCTCGAGTACTATTAACAGTGACTATCAATCCCAGTATTGTGTGAGGATTAGAGGATTCAGCATGTGTGAAACAGTCATGGAAGGAGACTGAGTATAGAGGGGTGCTCGTCCTTCCTCTCAGAGGAGTCTCTTCCACGCACACACGTACCACGCCCAGTAGCAACCTGGAGTGGCTTGGAAACTAACTGGGCATTCTAGAGGCTTCCTAGCATTAGCATAGCTCCATACCTAACCAGTCTGTATTTGCCCCCAAACATCCCAGGAATGCTGGCTTTTCTGATACATTTTCTTCCAGCAGCCCCCATAGACTTTGGAGCCCTGGGTGCCCTCTAGTGACAAAAGCCGTACATGGTAGTGACGGCAGGCTCCAAGGGCACATTGGGTCAGATGAGGTACTGTCAGTTGTCTGATTATCTTATGTCATCCTTACATCAGTTTTACAAGG